ATTAGCTTAGTCATCTCATCTTGTTTGTTTGACTCATCTGCCGGCCCCTGGAGGATGGGCTCCCCCTTTGGGTCTGGTTCCTCCCAAGGTTTCTTCCTCTTAGGGAGTTTTTCCTTGCCACCGTTGCCTTTGGCTTACTCACTGGGGGGTCCTTACGAGGCAGAAATGTAAAGCGCATTGAGACAATGTAATGTTGTGATAATGCGCTATATAAATAAAATTGAATTGAATTGAATGGATGGATGGTTGGATGCATGGATGGATGGATGCATGGATGGACAGATAAATGGATAGACGGGTAGAGGGATGGATGCATGGATGGACGGATGGATGCATTGATAGACGGATAGAAAGGTGGATGGATGTATGGACAGATGGACACATGGATGGATGTATGGACGCATGGATGGATGGATGCATGGACAAATATTAAGCCATTAATTTTCCATAACTGCTCAACCACTACAGGGTGAAGGTGCCATGGAATAACAAAGCTTTAAACCCAGACAGACCTCTAAGATAAATACCTAACACACTTTAACATCTGTTGTGACATCACAATAACAAAAAAGAAGAACAAAAAAAAGAGAGTTCTGTGTAATAAAAATGCGGCAGCACTGAGCGAGACATTTTTCTTCCTGAATGAAATCTCATCTGTACAATATGACCGGCATAAATGTACGTCTGAGTTACTGCTGTGTCCTCCTGCCGTCACCTAGCCTGGCTTTGGGTCCCTCGCCAATTCAAAATCACACGTTAGTGCTGATTATACAAACACAGCATGCTGGGTATTTAATAAAGGCGTTACAGTGCAAGAAGCCCAGGTTCCCTCTCTCTTTCTCTCTCTCTCCCTCTCTCCCTCGCTCCTGCTTTCGATCCATCTGTCAAAGCTCAATGTTCACAGATTAATATTTACTCTTGTACCCCTTACCTCACAATTCGACTTGGCTCGGAGCGACTCTAAATAAATTTATATTGGTTCTCTTACATTGCTGTTGCTATTTCCTTTTTCTGGCCGGGATTCGATAAACGCCACTGCGAGGTTATTACTTTTTGGCAGACATTTCACGAGCGAGGACTCGGCAGTTGGCAGCCATTTTAGATTTCTCTTTCTCTCTGGCCGCCCCCCCACCCCCCGAACCCCAGAGCAAGAACACAGAAAGTAAATCGAGCCCTGTCGAAGAGCCAGCCTTATCCCGTGCCAAGTTGAGGGATGAAAGCGCCAGGCAGAAGGGAAAGCGAGGCGGCAGTGCCAGCTAACCGTTG